AGACAGAGCAAGGCCGTTTTTACAAATGTGCGAAATGTTATTTTTCTATTTTAAATAATAAAGTTTCTAAAAGAATTTAAATCAAAGTGATTGTTTTTACAAAAATTTAGTAAGGCAAAAAATATGTGTGTACTTAATTGTCGTTTCAGCTTTTTGGCTTGTTATTTTCCGTCTGCAGTCGATAAAATCCGGTTTTAAATAATAAAGTTCTAGAAGAATTTAAATCAAAGCAATTTTTTTTCAAAAATTTGGAAAAAAGTGTCAATAATTTGGCAACATCGCAAACAAAATTTAGAAACAGAAAGTGGCAGTTATGTTATCTATATTAAAATTACTATTAGTAAGATACAATAAAATAAAAATACCGAATTTTACATGTAAATTAAAAAATTGCTTAGTTTGATAACTTGTAATAAACACCCTGTATAACAAAAGCAAATAAAAATTACTTAAACGACGCCGTCTTTACGAATGTGCAAAATATTATTTTTCTATTTAAAATAATGAAGTTTCTAGAAAAATTGAAATCAAAGTGATTTTTACTTCAAAAATTTGCAAAGAGTTTTAGTAAGGTAAAAAAATGTGTATGTTATTGTCGTTTGGTAAAAAGTTGAGTCCGGTCCTGAAATAATTTTGAGCTTTTTGGCTTGTTATTTCCCGTCTGCAGTCGATAAAATCCGGTTTTATGGCAAATTAGGAGCGTTTTAATTGTTTGAAATGTTGTTTACTTTTGTTGGAATTGTTCAAGATTAGTGTTTTTGAAATTTGGTTGTTATAGAGGCAGACATACCGCAGGAAATTAATGAAGAAGCTTAGACTAATAACGTTTTCCCACAAATTTATTAGCATAATCTCAAGACAAACAATTTGAACAAGTTTAATGAAGGCTTCGCCTGTTTGTTTGTGCACAATTTCGGATATTTTTGACATTGTGACAAATGACATTGACATATGAGTAAATTAGTGCCACAAAAACGGCCATTATATGCCTTTCACCGAAGAAAGTGAAAAGAAAAAGTTATACGAATTCGACGGCAGCTACTTAACAGAGTTAAATCAGATCAGAAAGCAGTTGAATCTTGTGACGATTTCTGATGACGAAGAGGAGTCAAATCTTGACATTCAAGTGCCTCCGACACCGAAATTCACCTTCAACGAGGAATTGTACGACTGTAATACCGACTACATGAAAGAACTGAACGAAATCAGAAAGCAATTGAATCTCAAGGAAATCGTGGAAAGTGGTAAAGAAACTAAAACGCTTTTCATCAACAATGGTGCAGTTAGACGCAATAAGAAGCCGAGAAAAGTCGCACAATTGGACGCGAATTACACACCACCGAAGAAAAAACAGCGAAACAGTCGGGATTCCAGTCCTAGTGAAAACTCCTCACCAGTCCGGGAAAATCCCTACGAATTTTCCGATTTTTCCCCCGTGAAAACGAATTTTTGCTCGTTGAATGTCCCAACTTGTGAGTCTCCTCAAGTCAAACCCAAATCCAAAGTGACAATTCTCGTCGACGATGAGGGGATTTCCCCGACTTGGTTAACAACAAGCTTGGAAATTCCCCGAATAGCCAAAGATTTTCACGCTTTTCCGTCCATCGTGCACATCGACAAGTGGGCAAGCATTTTCACTCACGAAGCCAACGAGATTTTTTCGCCATCAAAATCCGACATCAGTAAAAGAGTTAGGAAGAAAGTGAGTTTAGGTGAATCGAAAGCGATTGAGACTTTCCCTCAAATACATGATCAGAAAATCGAAAATAAGATGTTGGAAGTCGAGACGATTTCTAGTCTCAATAATATGTATCATGTTAAAAGGAAAAGTAATGATGTAAGGCATGTGGAGGAGACGGTCAATCTCAGTGATGATGAATCCAAGAGTGAAAGTGGTGAAGAAGTAAAGGTCGGATGTCGATGTTTTTCTATTTGTTTCAATAAGAAGTCACCGAATTTTTTTTCCTAGGGTAATTTTAAGAATAATCGGTTTAACTAGACTAAGCTTATATCTAAATGGCACTGCTTCCGAAGTAAACTTTGAGACTGCTTTAACACTGGTTTTATTGAGGCCGTGAGTTGGAAATTAAGTTGGCAACTCAATTTCCAAATTTTCGGCAAAAAACACTTAGATATAGTTTTTTTTTTGTTAGGTTGGGTGGTGGGAAACTGAATCGCCAACTTTAAAACAATGTTTTGCTCGAATGTCAAGTTGACATGTCAAATTTATTGTGACATTTGTGGCTAAATTTGTTGATTGGTTAGTTATTTTTTTCTTTTTGTTTTTTTATAATGTTAATAATATTATTAAAACTTGTTGTGCTATTTCTCCTTGTAACTTTTCTGTGACTATATATCACTCGTGTGTTGATATACAGTTAGAGCAAATGTAGGTATTTACAAATAAGTAGGTTATTAATTACACAGTATTACAACATCAAATACCATAACGGTTTTAGATCACTTATTTTGTACTAAAACTAGACTTAATATTTGGTTTAAAATAAAGAAGAAACAGATTTTTTTACTAAGTTGGTAGAAATTAAGTTTTTGAAACAAAGATCAAACTGTCAAAAAAATGTCAAATGTCAAACGTCAAGTTTCTGTCTTAAATTTGCAACAATTAATCAAAAATACACTAAATCATTGATTGATTGGCATTAATGACCAAAACAACAATTTGTATACATTGTTAAAAGTTCAAAAAGTTCCTAGATTGTATGTAAAAATCACTGTTACTTATGAATAGCAAAAATATTCGTCAGGTTGGCAACACATTTGTAAATTTGATTTAGTAACTTTGAATATAATGCCAAACGTCATATTTTACTAGAAATTCAGAGTTGCCAAAAAATTTTTTTTATAATATTAAAACTACTACGTAACAACAAAAAACTGTACAGTTTTGTATTTCAGTTGGCAAAAGAAAAAAGTCCCCAAATTTTCACACCATATTGAAATTGTTTTGCATTTAATTATTCCAAGTTTCTGTCTTAAAATGAATCAAAAATGCACTAAATTACAGAAGAATGATTGATTTTTAGTACAATTTTTACTTATGTTTGTTTGCATTAATGTTTAAAACATAACAATGTATACGGCATGAAGTTTCTAAAAGTACCTAAATTGTATGAAAAAATCACTGTCACTAATAGTAGCACCGATTTTTGTCAGTTTGGAAATACATTTGTAAACTTAATTGGCAACATTGACTACCATGCCCAAAAATTACTAAAAATTCAGGGTTTTAAAAGATTTTTATTACAGCCATTTACAGTTACTAAAACTACTACGCAACAACAAAATCTATACCGATTTGTATTTCGGTTGGCAAAAGAAAAAAGTCCCCAAACTTTCTCACAATATTGAAATTCTTTTGTTTTGAATTTAGTTATTCGAAGTTTCTGGTTTAAATTGGCAACAATGAATCAAAAATACACTTAATTACAGAAGAATTATTGATTTTTAGTACAATTTGTACTTATGTTGGCATTAATGTCTAAAACATAACAATGAAACTTCTAAAAGTACCTAAATTGTAGAAAAAATCACTGTTACTAATAGTAGCACTGATTTTTGTCAGGTGGGCAATACATTTGTAAACTTAATTTCCAACACTGATAACCATGCCCAAAAATTACTAAAAATTCAAAGTTTCAATTTTTTTTTATTTCAGCCATTTATAGCTACTAAAACTACTACGCAACAACAAAAACTATACAGTTTTGTATTTTGGTTGGCAAAAGAAAAAAGTCCCCAAACTTTCTCACCATATTGTAATTGTTTTGCTTTGAATTTAATTATTCCAAGTTTCTGTCTTAAAATGGCAACAATGAATCAAAAATACACTAAATTACAGAAGAATTATTGATTTTTAGTACAATTTTTACTTATGTTGGCACTAATGACTAAAACATAACAATGTATACATCGTGAGACTATTAATACTACTAAAAAAAATCACTGTTACTGATGGTAGCACAGATTTTTGTCAGGTTGGCAGCACGTTTCTAAATTTAATTGGCAACTTTGATTATCATGCCCAAACGTCATATTGTTATAATCAATTGTCATCAAATTTTCATTTTTACAGGCTCAAAATTCAATATTGGTTTTTACAATTTTTAAGGTATTTCGGTTGACAAAAAATTAGCAAAATTTTTTAAAATATTGATATAGCTATATTTTTCAATAAATGATTCCAAATTTGAGTTTTAAATTAGAAAAAATTAATAAAAAATATTATTAAGTTACACAAAAATTATTGTTTTTTTATCAAAATTTTTACTAATATTGGCGTTGGTGACTAAAACAACGTATACATCGAAACAGTGACAAAAGTACTTCAACTAAATGAAAAAGTCACTAAAAATATGCCATTTCTCTTGGTTGTTATATAATTTGTTGGTAACATCGGTTTGATTTATGGTAGCACAAATTTTGGTCGTGAGGTTGGCAACAATGACTACATCAATCCGGTATTGGATTAAAAACACACTAATTTCATAAAAATCTTGAATTTTATTAATTTTTTTATTTATGTTGGCACGATGTATACATCGTAACAGTAAAAAAAGCACCTAACTAAACGAAAAGTCACCAACATTGTTTTTATTTATAGTAGCACAAATTTTGGTCCTCAAATTGGCAACAACTTTGAAATTTGTTGATTTTTTAGTTAAAATTGATACAACAAAATGTTGATTACAAGAATACAACGTAATACAGGGTGTACATAAATTCCTGTGATCCAGTTGCCATGTGTTGATGACAGATGTCAAAAGTGACAGCACCATTGAAAACCGTGACTTTATAAACAAGCCAAGCCCATTAATCAAGCGAAGTTAATTAGAATTTTGCCAAGGTTTCGCCAACCACACAAACCTAAAAATCTTTCGCGAAATAAAGTAGTTTATGAAATATTGATTGTGAGTCGTTTTAGCGCCATCTGGCGGTGCGCATCATCAACTCGTCGGCGCACACTGTCTGTTCACGTCAAAACACGATCAAGTGTGCAGTTCGCAGCTGACAGTCTGGTTGTCTTGCGAACTGCTGTCTGTCATTTCGTTGACGATGATGTTTTCGTGATTTTTTTAGAACACACAGTATACGATTGTAGTTCGCGGTGTTAAGATGCATCACCCCTTGTAGTGCAGCCCGATATGCTACAAGCGGTCCTGTGTGGAAAATTGTGCGAGTGTTACCAGCGATCAGCTGGAAAGTGTTTTTTAGAAAGTGGTCAATTTCGCAAGAATTCGACTTTCGGTGAGTTTTTACAAGTTTGGGGTAGTTTGGGGAATGGTTGGGGTTGGGGGAGGTGGCCCCATTTGGGGCGAAAAGCGAAAGCTAAATCGGACAAGGACAATCACTTGTAATTGGGAATTCGACGACCTCAAGTGCCTGCAATTAATTATTTATTATTCTTGTGGGAATTTAAGCTTGGATGTCGCGAGTTTCATAACAAAATAATATGATTTACTTTCATTTCTTCCGTTCGAACGAATGAAATCGAAACTAAGACTCGAAAGTTCCGCAATAACGCTCAAAATATCGCTTTAAACTACATTATTTCTCAATTCGCCTATCATTCATTGACCCAGACTTGTTTTTTCTTCTTGTTTATTGATAAATTATCACATTATTGATGCACAAACACATTTCTTAGACAATAAAACGAAAATAGATTGATATTCTCATATTAAGTTGGCAGCGTGTGTATTACCAACTTAATTTCCTAACCACAGGTCACTCTGTTTTGTGGCATACATGCAAAAGAAAAAAGTCTCCAAACATTCACACCATATTAAAATTGTTTTGCTTTGAATTTAATTTTTCCAAGTTTCTGTTTTAAAATGGCAACTTAATTACAGAAGAATTATTGGTTTTTAGTGCAATTTTTACTTATGTTGGCATTAATGTCTAAAACATAACAATGTATACATCATGAAACTTCTAAAAGTACCTAAATTGTATGAAAAAATCTCTGTTACTAATAGTAGCATTGATTTTTGTCAGGTTGGCAATACATTTGTAAACTTAATTGGCAATATTGATTACCATGTCTAAAAATTACTAAAAATTTAGAGTTGCCAAAAGATTTTTGTTACAACCATTTACAGTTACTTACAAAGAAAACTATACAGTTTTGTATTTCGGTTGGTAAAAGAAAAAACTTCCCAAATTCTCACACCATATCAAAATTGTTTTGCTTTGCTTTTAATTATTCCAAGTTTCTGTCTTAAATTGGCAACAATGAATCAAAAATACACAAAATTACAGAAGCATTATTGATTTTTAGTACAATTTTTACTTATGTTGGCATTAATCGCTAAAAAATAACAATGTATACATCGTGAGACTTCTAAAAGTACCCAAATTGTATGAAAAAATCACTGTTACTAATGGTAGCACATATTTTTGTCAGGTTGGCAACACATTTCTAAATTTAATTGGCAACTTTGATTACTATGCCCAAACGTCATATTGTTATAATCAATTGTCATCAAACTAATATTTTTTCTTCTTGTTTATTGATAAATTGTCACATTATTGATGCACAAACACATTTTTTGGACAATAAAACGAAAATAGATTGATATTCTCATATTATGTTGGCAGCGTGTGTATTACCAACTTAATTTCCGAACCACAGGTCACTCTGTTTTGTGGCATACATTTCACGCTAACTTAATTTTTGTGTCGACTTAATGGTAAAATAATTTGAATAAAATTGAAGGGTGAACCAAATGCGTTTCGAATATTTTATTAATGGTGGAAGGGTGTCACTCCTGCAAAAAAGCAAAATAAACAGTATTGTCGTATCAACAAGAAATTACTCCCTAGGATTTAGGGATATTTATGAATAGGTTGCCATAAATTTGGTTAGGTTGGTTTCTGGTGACAAACAAAAGATATCGTAACTAGTGTCAAAATTTAGGTTACGTCATAATTTAATTGATAGTTGACAGCAGGTTGATAGAAAACGTCAACCGTCAACAACAAGGGGTATACCTTAGGTATACAAAACTACTTCTGAAAATTCTAGTTACAAAAAACATGTAAAACGTAATTTTCCTAAAAGTTTAAATCCTAGACGGTAATTTCTTGTTGACAAATTTAGTTACATTTCTGGTCAAAGTAGCCTGCGATATAAGTTGGGTACATTGAGTAATAGTGTGACTTGTGTCTGTTTTACAAAATTGCCAACTTCAATTCAGGCACGGCCTCCTTTGACTAGAAATTTAAAAAAATAAGGGAAAAGTTTTTTGTCAATTCAAAGTAGCAGGTTTGTTACCAAATAACATAATGATCTCTAATTACATTATACTCTTATGAATACATAAATACGTAATCTCTGAAAAAGGTGGGTTTTATCAATTTGGTGACACACCTATTATTCTGAGAACAATTTCACGTATTTGATAACTATTATTTCTAACAATGGGAATTAGTTGGCAATTATTTTCTTTATTTTTGGTATGTTTCATGTTTTGTCATCAATAACAATCTTATTATGATGTATTATTTAGAGATTTTTTTATTAGTATACACAGCTCTATTTATGCAATTATGAAAAAACGTTAAATAAAAAACAAATATCTCAGTATGTAACAACGAGAAATGTAATTAAATCTAACTTTGTAGTAACAAAAAAATCTCGGTATTTAATTACATTATACTTTCATAATTTACAGATAATATTTGAAAAAGGTCGGTTTTATCAATTTGGTGACAGATCTATCATTCTGAGAACCTATTTATTTGACGTCTTTGACAAATATTATTTTAAACTATGGGAATTAGTTGCTAATTGTTTTCTTTATTTTTGAAAAATGTACTAGAGAGAATTTGGGTTTTTTAATAAAATTGGGAATAAAACACTAAATTTGGGGACAGAGTCGAGGGATTCAGGACCAGATTTCGGAAATGATTGTACAAAGAGACGAAAGTTTGCCTCTGAAGGGCATTTTTTGTTGTTTTTTAGAAAATGCCTGTTTTGATTGGCTGTTTGTGACTTTTTTTCTTATCTGGTCAATTGATCACTAAGAAGGCTAAAAACCTGAAGAGTTTCCGAAATTTTGTCGAATATATTCAAGAATATTGAGAGAATATGAAAAAAAAGTTAAATGTTATAAAATGTCCATATATGTCAAAATAGCAGATTTGTCACCAACGCGTTATTATTATGATGTATTATACAGGGTGTTCAAAAAATCGCGCACTTTCGTGACACTGTGTCATCGGCCAGTGCCCTAAACAACAAGAAAAATGTTAAAAAAAAAGAAAAATGTTAAAAAAAATCTATCTCTAAAAATTCTGAAGTTATGAGAGTTTAAATTTTGCACTGTGACTATTTATTTCTGTTGGAAAAATAATTTTTCAAGTTTTTTTGCTATAGGCTCTTAAAATAGGAAACAAAGAAGCTGTATCCTAAATTGTATTTCTGTTTAGTGTTATTTGTGGCTTTTATTGACAAAATTTTTGTACCTTTAATAAATAATTATAAAAAAACTTATACAAGATCGTCAGTATCGTTAAATAGACTTAAAAAATGTCAAATGTCAAAAAATAAATGTCAAAATTTTTGACAGAATTTTTTAAACATTTTTTCAGTGCTCTGGTGGACTACCCAATTACTCCCTTTCAAGGAAGTGCGCGATTTTTTGAAGACCTGTATCTAATTATGGTACATTTTCATAAATTTACAGCTAATGAAGCAGGTCTACTATGTTGAGAACAAACCTATTTAATTGACGCTTTTGACAAATTTTATTTCAAACAATGGGAATTAGTACAATACAAAAATGCCTATTTTGATTGGCTGTTTTTTTGACTATTTTTTTCTTATCTAGCCAAATTATCTTCCATTGCGTTGGAGAAGAGTCCAAGGGGGCTATAAACCTGAAGAGTTTCCGAAATTTTCTCGAATATACTCAAGGATTTTGAGGGAATATTAAAAAAAAATCATTGTTTTATAGAGGAAAAATTTTTTGTACAAAATTTTATGCACAATAAATCAACAAATTGAGTTATGTTTTTATGACCCATCATTTATCCTGTCCCTGAAAGGGTTCATTAATGTTAATTCTATAATTGACAGTTTGACGCGTTGATTACTAAAATGAAGAAGACAATAATGAAAAAAAAATCAGTTTTATGTTTATGCAACAATGTCTAAATTAATTACTCGTAATTTTGGCATAATAGTAAATTAATTTCGAAAAGTAACTTTCACTGAATAATCATAAATGTTGGCAATCAAATTGCCCAAAACCAGTTTCCTTCCAAATTCATAGACTAGTGAAATTGATCTGGATCAAGATCGTATTTTTCCAAAGTTAATTTAAAAATGCATTAAGGACGACAGAAACGGTGTTAAATATGTGAAAATGCAACACACGTTCTATTTTCACCTGGTTGGCAACAACGTTGCCAAGATGCAACGACGTTTTATGACGCAAATTTTGGTGTAATAATAGTAAAAGTCTCTAGACATGTGCTAAGCCAGTGGAAAAAAATGCAGAACTTCCGTCCTGGCTTACATCATTTTATAAATTTTAATGTAAAAGCAAGGAAATTAAAAACGTTATTGAAATAGTCGCCAGATCTTGACTTGCTAAGTGAATGTCTTGTTTGGTTTCTTTGTGAGGAACCATTGAAGCATTGAAAGTGACCTCAAAAATTGTTTGCGTTATTCACATTGAAATTTTTCACAAAAATAACGCAATTGATTGTGTCATTTTTTCGTCCAATTTGCTTAACACCTCGAGATTTTCCAAATGTCCGAAAAAAAACATTTATGAATAATTCAGTTCCGTTCTTTTCCTCGGAAGAGAATACGTATAAATTTTTAAACAACTTATAAGTAAGTAGATACGGATGTTTAGGAGTTTTAATGCATTTAAAACAGAATCGTCTATACCATTTTGTGTTATTTTCTCTCCCTGGTTTATCCAAGGTTTTATTCACTTACAAAACTGTAAATCGTACCGTTTTACTTTTACTACTTGCATAATAAAGTTTTAGCTTATCGCGGTTTAATTAAAACGGGGGATATTTTATTCAAAGTGGTAAGTAGTGAAATAAGATTAATCTTCCACGCTGAAATTTGAATATTTAATCCCGATTATGTAATTTTTCACTGATTTTGATTGCACTTTTTCGTCTTTGGTAAAAGTTAATTTTATCGTAGATTAAGAGAAAGTTTGAAAAATCGAACGTTGTGAAACTGTGCAGTTGTAAAAAGTCTCAAAGGAGTCTTGCAA